GAGCGCCTCTCCCGGCGGCTGCGCGCTCCTCGGGAACCCGCCTGCGCCCTGGGGCGCGCGAGCCGCCGGTGCCGCTCTGGGGGGGGCGCGGGGAGACGTGCAGCATCCTCCCCGCCTCGGGCAGGGGCCCTACGTGTCCGTCGCTTGGCCTGGCCGACCCAGCGGCTCTCACTTCCGTGGGACCCTCGGAGGCTTTGAGCAAGTTACTGGTCCTTGTCCCCTTTACACCCCGATGAAACCCGACCTCAGAAAAGTGTAACTAGCAGAGTTATCCGCACCTGCCTTTGCAAAGGTAAAATGGGAACGATGTACGCCTGCAGCCTTGAGTGTGCGACTTGAGGCCTGTCCGGGTTACGAAGCCCTGCGTCTTTAAAGAAGAGCTTTCACAGGGGGACATCGTCAGATGCAAACAGTTTTGCCATTTTTCTCCCTCTGCTGTAATTGGCAAAAATTTGTTTAAAGCAGGCATAGGCAATAAGATGACACTTGGGTTAGCCCCTGGCGAGCTGCCACTGTTATATTTGCCTGCGCCTCTGCTTGCTGCTCCCATTGGCTACAGATCACTGTTCCCAGCCAATGACACCACTGGGACACCACTTGCCACAGCTCTCAATGGCTGGGAATGGTGAACTATGGTCAACGGGAGTTGCAAGCACCCATACCTGCAGAGTTGCGGGTAAATACAGCAGTGATGGCCTGCCAGAGGCTAACCCTGAGAGATTGCATCCGGTCCATATGCTGGTATTTGTCCACTTGTGGTGTAAAGAGATGCATCTTTTCCTCATCAGTTGACTGCTTCTGCTTGATCCTGTCCAAAAATTCATCATTCCTATGTCATTGTGGGATCAAATTTAAGAGGAGGAAAGTGACTAGAATGTATAATCTTTATCATAATGGGAGGTAGAAGTAAAAAGAAGGATTTCCTGTTAAAGGATGGAAGAGAATTCGTAAGAGTCTTTATTCCACTTTGTTCCAAACTGATCTGTGTTCCTGAAATACTTCCTATAGTATACTGCAGAGCAGTCTTCTAATGCAGACCTCAGGGAGCTCTGTCTTTTTGCTCGCACATCTGGAGGCGTAAAAATCTTTTGTCTCATTTAAGGTCAACCCCACATGCTTGTATATGTGAGACTAACATCTGTATGGATGGATCATTGCTTTCTCCCATTAAATTCTTGTAGTTCCCAGCATTACAGAGACACGTTGGTGTCTCTCTGAGGCTGTGTATTCCAAGCACATCAGTATTCTAGAAGAGAGGCTGACCATTGTGGAGTGGATGGAAACTAATAGTATAGTTCTGGAAAAATTCCTGAGTCTATCAACACTAATGCTGTTTGCTATTGCACATAAAAGCCACTGATCAGTTGATTAGGTGGGACTTTATACCCAATACATGCTGCATCCTTTACTACCATGAAAGTTATCTGTGGCAATCAAAAGGGTTTCAGTCAAAGTTCTTGCCAAAGAGGTGTTGGTGGAGATGTTAAGGAATTTGTAAGTGATAGGTGTATTTAGTGGGTTGTGCCCATGAAAGCTCCCCCCATCTGCTTTTTTTTTTTTAGTCTCTAAGGTGCTGCAGAACTATTCTTTTAAGTTTTTTTCAGTTACAGACCAGGGCTGTGTCCAGACTCCATGCCTCCGTCGACGGAGGCATGTAGATTAGCCAGCTCGGAAGAGGGAAATGAAGCCGCGATTAAAATAATCGCGGCTTCATTTAAATTTAAATGGCTGCCCCGATCTGCCGATCAGCTGTTTGTCGGCAGATCGGGAGAGTCTGGAC